AAGCCAAAAAGAGTTTACCATTGATATGTACCTAACAAGGATTCGAAGAATTACTTTGCCAACTTCTAATTCGTTCAACAAAATGAGGTACAAAATAAAATTATAAGTTCAGTTAAGTTTTTCAGTGTTCGATATATTCAAAAAATGCGGCAATTGTGAAAAATCGCCATCTCCATCGAAAACCGGAAACTGGAAACGAAAAATCGAGGAAAATGAACATTAAAACTATTTTTCAACATTTTCTATTGCCTTTGAAAGTTGAGCGCATCTTGTGTTTATAAACGTCTTTATTAAACAAGTAATTTTTAAGCAAAAATCACAACCGCCTTCAATTCTCATATAAAAATTTAGGAGTACCGTTAATTTTTTCATGATCCAATTATCGGATCTAAACGAAATTACGGGACGACCCTTGAGGTACCATCTTTCCGATAAAGAAAGAGTTATTGAAATCGTTTCACCTCCCGCTTTTTTTGAAGTCGGTTACAAATGTTTGAGTTTGCTGTTAATTTTATGCAAATAAAGTGCAATTTATGAAACTTTAAAAAGTTTATTTATTTATTACATACTGTACTTAAAACTTGCATTAATGTTTATCTGAAGCGAATTTTCAGTATTTTCTGGTGATATATCTTTAGAAGTACAAATCTACCTATGCAGCCCTCCNCCTATGCAGCCCTCCCATCCCCCCCCCCCCCCCCCCAAAGTATATTCCTGTGTACGCCCCTGCATAACAGTGTCTCAAAACGACTTGCTGACGACGACTGCCTGTATACAGACGGCAGACACTGGGAAACGATTCGAGTTCGAGTTAGTTAATAGTCGGCATATAGGGTTACGAGATATCGAGTTGAAGAATGTTTATATGTACATACGCGCTCGCAAGGCATAAGGCATACACATAACTAACTACCCGATGACGAATGTAGCATGCCTCATGCCTTTATGCTATATACGGCGTTTATGTCTCTTTCTCGCTGCTGCAGTTTAATTGAAAAGTGACAAAGAAGTAACGATAATTTTTGTATAATCACCGCATACGCAAAACGAAACTGGTATGGTGCTACGACGAACCGACAGACTGAATGCAGAGTGCGCACAGTGGAAATTTCCACTGCTTTTTCAAGCAAGAAGCAAAATTGGTGTAAGTAGCACTGCATGCATACAAGTACAATAGAACAATACACAAGCAGACACACACACACACACACACACATACACAAACAAACAAACAAAAACAAAGAAGCGCTAATGCACACTGTGTGCTATGTGCTATGTGCTGTGTGCCTTACAGTAGTGCATATATGTAAGTGGATAAAACTTGTGGCATTTCGATATGATAGCCGTGTAACGTGAGACAACAGCGAAAAAATTTTAAAAATAATATAAATGGAAGCTACAATGTATAAATAGATATGTATGTATGTATGTATGTAGATGAAAAAAAGGAGAGAGCAAATGATAAAAAAAAAAAAATTTGAAATAACAATGGAAAAGTTTTACGAAAATTTCATTTGCTAGCAATTGTTTTAAAAATTAGCGCGACAATTCATTTTTGTTTATTTATTTATGAGTTAGTGCATTATGGAGGTTTCTTATTTTATTTGGATTGTTAAACATATGAGTAAGTTTTTATGACTTCTTGGATACTGTGAAATTAAACATTTTTTTGAAAGCGGATCTGTTTCATGAACACTTTCAAAAATTAGTTAGCTTTAAGCTGCGCTTGCGGTTAGAGGCTTACGTTTTTACATAAATATTCAAAGTGAACCAGACAGAGTCTTGGTTTTTGTCACTTGGTATTTTTATACAAATATTTGTGCATATGTCTGTACTTGGGCAACGTCAATACAAAACCCCCTAAACGAGGTTTGAAAATTTATCAGAAGCAAAACACTTTTCATATTTTCATAGAAAATGCCTGGGTAGGCCCTAAACTCGAGGTTGCGACAAAACTGGTTTGTCTGTACGGCTATCATTAGCCCTGGCGAGCAGAATGTGAATTCCACTAAAGGACTGCTGCCGTAGCTGTAGAGTCGACGAGGAAATGGAGAACTTCGAACGATTCCTCAGACGACGATGGCTCCAACAATACTTCCACCATGAACTGTCTCACTCCATTTTGATGAAGGTCAGCACGTACGTTGGAACTGACTACCTGCCAAAATGTTACTACACGGCCTAGGTGGCCCATCATCTTGAATCTGGCTGAGGATAGCCGGATAGCCAGTACAGCCTACTCTAACCATTTCTTTAAAGCATAGAAGTGGAGACGTACGCAATGAAGTGGTAGACATTCTCGCCAGGAAAAAAGCTGCCCAGGAATTCGTAGGGCCGAGTTAACTTCTTCATCCCGGAAATATCAACAAGGAGAAAATAAGCACTATTTCACCTTAAAAGGCCACTTCGTGGTAATGAAACGCCTGTCAAAAGTATGGCAAAACGTATTATCTAACTTCCTGGAAAAAGACTTGGCTTTCGAGTATCACGGTCGTTAGAAACTGTGGAACCACTTGCATTCATGCAAGGGACTTTCCACGAGATTCCTTAAAAATGCGTGGATCCAAGAAGGCCTGTAACCTAATAGGCGTATGTTACATTAGATCATCCTTGGTCTCGATAACTACTTAGGTGACCATAGGTGAAAAATATGGTACCGGAAAAATGGACAGATATTTGAACGCGAAAAAATCGTTGCTCTAAACTTTTTTTTTTCAAAATAAACCCACAGTGTCTGCATCGGTGATGTATGATATGTGTGGCACATATGTATGTACATTAGGTTGGTAAAAAAAAAAAAAATTAAGTCGGAATTTGAATGCTTATTTTGAAATCAGAAAAAATTTTGAGGTCGCTCAAAGCGCTCACAATTTTCCATGGAAAAAACAACTTTTCGTAGAAATGGTATAGAATTTTTAAAAATCAATATTTTTCGATAGGGNTTGCAACTTCAGAAAAAGTGGGTCTTTGGGTGCTGCTATCCCTGGCGTGTATAGCTTCAAAGTTGACTGACATTTGCCTTAGGGGTTTGCAGCCGGCGAAATTGCTGAGTGGGTAACAGCCAACTGCTCAATGCCTATGAAAACAAGCTTGCAGATAAATGCATATCTATGTACATTTTTGTGAACTCACATGCAATTGATAAATATGTATGCAAGTGGGTGGTAGGCCTCAATGGCTGGTGGGCTAGGTTGGAAGCTAGGCTCTACAAATATAACTATGTACATATGTTCTTGTAGATATGTATATACATAAATAAATACATACGGAGTGTTAGCCGAAAAAAGCTGCCGTGCAGTAAGGGTGGATTTTTCATTCATCTACCTCAGCTATACATATATGTATGTATATATGCATGTGTGTGTTTCACATGCTTGTGTGTGTGTGTATGTGTGTGTTTGTATCTCCCCTGCAGAAACTCTGACAGGGCTCAGAACTAGACCTTTTGCCGACTGTACTAGTTCTACCGATGTCATTGGCGATGGCAATTGTCACCCAGTGCATTACTTTTCAACTAGTTTTTAGCCGATTCCGTTTTGGACAGTTTGTTTTTTTTATACGAAAACGTTTTTGGATATCTTTCTCGTTTTTTTTTCTTTTCTTTTACAGATTCCATTTTTGTTAGAAATTTTTGTGGAAAAAAATTATTGTAAGCTGCCTCCACCGCGATTTGAACTCGCGACCAACGATGCTCGAGTCGCGGAGGTCTTCTCGCTGAGCTACTTTCGTATTTTACGAGTAGTGAGCATTTGCACATTTCCACGGCAAGTTTTAACTGTCCCGCTCTGCATCCGTTTTGCACTAGTTCAGAGATAGTTCTTACATATGTATGTAGTTCGGAACTAGCGCTTTGTCAGACTGGCTCTAAATTTTACTGCAGGGTCATTCGTTTATTAATTACGCGAATATCACTATGGCAGCGCCGGCAAACGTACATACGTAAATGTGCTTTGGTTATATCTATTTATTTTTTTATTACGAACTGCATGCAATCAAAAATTGCCAATTATACATTCAAATGTATGTAGGTGTCTACAGGCAATATATATTTATATCTCTTTATAGATCAGCGGACCGATATGCGCACGGAAGCGTCGAACGTCATGCGATAAGGTGGCGTAGGCAATCGCAGTTCGGCAAAAAAAAAAAATGGGAAAATTGGAATTGATAAGTGCCGCCGCCGAGACCCCAATGAGAGGCACAGTGACTCACAAAATAAAGAAAATACTTATTGTACGCATATTTGAAAAGAGTTGAACATACATGCATACATATGTACATATATATGTGCACTAAAACACTAAAACATACATACATACTAACTCAATTGCTTAATTAATTCGGCTTCATTAAATTAAGCCCCTCTTTTGCCTCCCCATTGGACAACTCGTACGCTTTTTGTCCACACACTTTTTCAACTTCCGCAACCAAATGCTCATTCATTTACTATTCTCTCAGCGAACTTGTAAGCTATAAAATATTGAATTTTATATATGCCGGCATCAAGACCCGCCATATCGCTACGTTAAAAGCCCCTTGTCTCAAGCCCTAGATATGTATGCATGCATGTAATTAACGCTGCACTGCCCGCTGTGCTTATGTAAGCCTGAGCGTACCGCTATCGACAATTGGATACGCTGCAAAAAAGCGCACCAAATCGCTTCAAACCGGGTACTTTTAGCTACATATATGTATTCCAGTTCGCTCCGTGCGCATATTTAGTCGCTGCGGATATTGAATTAATATTTTATATGAGAAAGTACTTACGGTGTATGATGTTGGCGCCAGCGGCGTGCGTGAATCACTCTTGTGGAAACTCATGTTCGCAAAGGTGACAACAACTCCGCAATATTACAAGCGCAATATCCGATATTCTTCGACTTTTATGTTCTTTTGGATTCTGACTCGGCCTCTGTGTGTTTGCGTTTTCGTTAATCAATTCCGATGGGTTGCGAATTTCGTGCGCAGTGCTTAAACGAATATTTTGCCGAATATTTTTAAATTATGTTTCACGAGCCTTAAGCGACTTATGCAATTCCGTTATTAGATACGATGTCGCGTTTTACTTAAGTACGTATGTAAGTATGTATGTATTAAGTTTTGAAAAGCACTGCCGCGAGTTTTCAAATGCTTTTCAAACTGTTCCAGAATGTTCCAAACTAAGCTATGCAAACGTTTACGCGGCGTAGCTACGCAATCAATCGTTATACGAAACGTCGAACAGTCTTTGCTCAGTACAAAACTTTTTTTTTGATTCGCTTAGAATGCGTTTTTAAGTACTGTAATTTATGTAAATGAAAAATTCCTATTTTTAGATTATGAAAATTAAGAATATAATTCGTTAGAACCGTTTGCAAAGTGTGGCATTTAATTATTTAAAAAAAATATATATATATATATCTATGTATATATGTAATTGTTATAAAACTGTTGCTTTACTTTCTTCGTGTTAAACTACGAGTACCGAAAAGAGACAACCGCACTGTTTGACATTCAAAGCAAGAATGCCAACATTGCCATTTCGACGAACGAACGCAAGCAAGCAAGCAAACCGCCGCCAGCCAACAGCAATCAGAGTCCAGAGCCAGAACCGAGACTGGAGCGCCACCACCGACAAACACGTCCAGTTAACCAACACAGACAAGCACCAGTACCGCCGCTAGAGCTCCGTTTGGTTGCTAGTTTTTGTTAGTCAGTTCCACTACATGGTGTGACGCAAAGTTCGGTTGTACGTTCGTTTCCACCATTGCCTCACCCTGCCACTCATTCATTTGTTTGACTATTTGCCTGTATTGTTCCCATCTTTGTTGGGTGTGTGTGTGTGTGTGCTTTGACACCACTAACGACTGTTTGTCGTTTCGTCTGCAGTGACCGTCGTGTCTGTTGCGCCGGTAGTCAGTCTGCTTCCGCTTATGTCAGTCAGAATGGCGGATGTAACGGTGAGCGAGTTAGTCAGTGCGGCGGGTGAGACCTGACTGTCATTTAGTCCTTATGAATTTGGTTTGACGTTTCGTTTACTCGTGTGCTTCACTGTGTGCCTGAGAGTGTAGTAGAAACTCTCACATTTGTTGTTGCGCTCGAATGTATGTACGTACATAAGTATCTACTTTTTCATTATTTTCATTTGGAGTTGTTAGTGCATTGGTTACAGTGTTCGTTGTTGTTTTAAGTGCATACCTTTAGTACTGCATAAGTAAGAGAGAGTCTAGCACTGAGCGTTTCATTCATTATACTTAATTTCTTTTGTTGCAGTTGCAACTCTAATAATAGCTCTCACTTGTGTGATTAAAATACTTTCATGTTACATTAATGCTTGCATAGTATACTACATATACATATTGATATATGTATGTATGTAGAAATAAATAAAAGCACAATTAATTATAATGTATTATATACATATTTACATACATACATATATATATTTGTGTTGTAATGGTAATGGCAATGGACTTGTAATGGTAATGGTTATGGTTGTGGAAATGGTAATGTTAATAGTAATGGCAAATGTATCTAGTGGTAATGGTTATATTAAAAGTAATGGAAATAATAATGGTAATGGTTATAGTAATCGTAATGGTAATAATAATTGTAATGGTAATTGTAGAAATAATACTGAATAATACTGAAGCGAATGGTAATGCCGCTGACTAACGGTAATGGGAATGACAATCGAGAAGAAGCCCTGCCAAATACTTAGCACAAATGTATACAGACCTCATTTTTTTAAGGGTAGCGGTCGTGGTTATGTCGATGGTTATGATACAAAATATACAAAACACAAAATACAGTTGAAAGTATATTTTGCTTTCGTTTGCAAAGAGAAGTTGAGGTAAAGTTAAATTCGTCGTTTTTCTAGAACGAGCATTCTCACATCGAATGCTATTTCACAATCATTTCTTTACATTGAAATTCAACCTGTCGTAAAGACATTAAAACATTTGCTTATGTTTGTCACTTTTTTCCCTGGCCACCCCTCAAGCATCCGTCGCCGTAATGAGCGGCAGGCAATATCTTATCAATAAAAATAATCGCACTTAATTTGAATACTGAAATGCCTTCTGTTTGTTAAGAACAATAGATAGTATTTATGAGTAGAAGAACGTCGTGAAAATGTCTTTGTGTAAATATACATACATATGTACACAAATACATACACATGTGGGTGACATACACAAATAAGTAGGGACGAACAAATTTCAATCGGCAGCTGACTTGTCCAATACATTAAATGGAATTAAATTTAATTAGTAACTTTCTAAGTAAAGACACCCACATACCCACATATGTACATATGTACATTTATACATACATATATTCCGTACCAATCCACTTTTTTTTTTAACTGACTTCAGACTATAAATCAACCAAATGTATCGACAGATATGAATACCAACCAATAACTGAGTCAACTGCTTAATCAGCAAATTTTAAGCTGTAGATAAATTTTAAAATATTTATTAAGTGTTAAAAAAAGTAAATATTAAATATCAAAATATTTTTGTAAGTATGAATATGTTAGCCAGTGGAAAAAAACCAATGATGTTGCTTCTTTTGTTGTGAGGACCATGAATTATTCATAAGTTCAAATTTCTATTCAAGAAGCCAACAACCAATTCCAGCAGGGTATACGCACTCATCTTTTTCCTGTGCATTTACACACATATTCGTTAATTGTGCGAAATCGAAAAAAGTTGGCTCACTCATTCATAAAATTTTCCATAATTCCTTTACATGCGCAGCCGATTAGCACGGCGTCAGTCTTATGAATATATATGTATATACATACATATACCCTACAAGACAGCTGAGTATCATATGAGTACTCATATTATCATTATCCCTAATCACAAAAGTGCTTATCAAAGTCCTCATTTTCGTTCAGGCCATGGGAAAAAATTGAGTACTTTCCCCTCAATGTTGTCATCAGAAAGTCCTCAGTACTAATAGTCAAACTACTCATTTATGCCGTACTACAAAAACAAAAGTGTAAATGTGTGAGAATTTTTGCCTAAAGTGCTCAGCAATGTCTTGTAGGGTACATATGTATTTATGTATGGACGCTGGCAAATGTACGTGAGTAAAAGTACTTATATATGTACATATGTATGTAGATATGTTTCGGCATGCTAGTTAATCGAAGATCACTTGCTGGCACTTATGTACTTGCATACATATCTAAATTTTTAACTTATGTACTTTTATTTGACTGGCCGTTATCCTTTTTAAGGCGGTTCGCCACAAAGAGACCGTTTTATAAAATCAGTTAAGATTTACAGCAAATGCATTTTGACAGGACAAACGGAAAGATATAAATTGGGCTCACTTCCCATAGTGGAAACCCGGCATAAAAATCTTTAATGAAAAAAAGGAAAATTGTTCACCTCTGCGAAAAATCTCAAAATGGGAATAATTGTCCTATGCAATAAGAAATTTCATAACTTCATACGACCGTTAATTAGGCCAATGGTATACGCCACTGACGAGACCTTGCAAAGGAGAGAGAGAAGCGCCGGACAACCGGACAAAAGATTTGTTCATATGGACCAATGATTTGATCGACCATACGTTTCTTTCATGTGAGATGGCTGTGAGGGAATATGTACATATATAGAGTGCCTTCTCTAAGAAAGCGCACTTACTATCATCCTTAGGATATTAGTGGAAAGAACTGGGAAGCACTTAACTTGGGCGGTCAAGTACTTAGGGTAGGTTATGAATATTTCTTTATATTTAGGTACTTTTTTTAATTTAAAATACAGTTTTGCTTTTTTTCTAGTACATCGCGATTTATTTTTATTGATGAAATATGTATGTACATGTTTTGGAATTTTTAAAACTTTTCGTAAAAAAAATAAAAATTTATTAATTTAAAATCAAATTCTTACTTAAAAAATAACAGTGTTAGTTAAAAAATACCCCTCAAAACTCAGTAAATAAGTAGGACCTATTTTCTCAAGAAATTTTAAGCGAGGGAATATTTTAATATTTTTTCGTAGCTTCGAATCTAATACCTACCCTAACTGTTTATGATTTTTTAACGGGAAAACCTTTGTAGGCTAGACTATTATGCTTCTGAGTGTCATTACCAGGACATTCGAGTCTACGTAACCGAACAAATCTACTTCTGGCCAAGAATTGTCCTTCTAGCTGTTCCCCAAAACCCCTTTTTTATGATCCTACAACCACAAACTACGTCCGAGTACAAACAATATTCAATAGTCAAGCTCAGTTTTTAAATATTTGCTAAGTGGACTGAAGTTCGCGAGGATCATACATAAATACATAAAGCCAACTAGTATTCGAGTCCTGCAAGGAGAGTATGTTTTCGTTTTCCTGTATAGGGTTGGAGGCATAACCTTTAGCTTAAGCTAACACAAAGCAAATTGTTCTCTGCAATCTGATTGCGATATCATTGGCGATAGGCGTTGGATGTGATTTGGCATACATTTTTAAACTTTTAAGCTTCTTTCTACTTCTCCCACATACGATCGATGGAAAATCTAAAAAGAGCTGTTAGCTAAGAAAATAAAATAAATAAAATGGCGATTGGTTTAATTTGCATAATTTTTTCATTAAACTTTTTTGTAAATATGTAATACTTTGTATGTATGTACATATATTGCTTCGATCTTATGGAAACTTTTCTCTAATCGGTACTTTAGAAATGTATAATTTCTCGTTTACGAACTGTTTACCCATGCATTTAGTACGTGAAATTTTATGATTTTACGTCAACGCCAGCACCCTCATACCACATTCCGGCACGTGATAAATTTGTCTAAATGATGGATGACAATCTACTAATGCACATATATATATGTACATAAATATGTACTTATATGCAAATACGTATACAATATTTAGTTTGTAGAGTTATTTAAAAAAAAATAAAAAAAATAAAAATTTCGTTAACAGTCAATTGCACATGTCAAACGCTGACATTTCGCATTTCAGTTAATTTGCGCCGTCATAAATGCCGTTACGACTCTATGACACAGCGCCACTGCGACTATTTTATTTTTGAGCTTTAATGATGCGTCTTCGAAGATATCGTGGTCAATTTTTAAATATTCTAAAATTATTGCTTGATTACTATAAATTGATCATCATCGATTTGAAATCAAATGAACTCCCCGGAATGCGTATGACGCGTGCGAGAAAGCAAGAAGCATAAGTACATACATACATACAAACGTACATAGTATAGATAACGCTATGCGATCGTTTGGCAATTTCCAACGCCCCAACTGACAATTTTTTGATGCGCAAAAGAAATATTGTGCCACTTCATAATTGCTACTGCTGCTTTGCTTTTGTTGTTGTTGCTGACAAAGTCGTCGAAACCAATTTATGCATCGTTCGCAATTTTTTTTTTTGCACATATTTTTTGTTTTTAAATTAATGTGCGCCGTAATATGAACTGCGAAAATACTTTAAAGTTTTCGCTTTTTTTTTGTTTGCTGTGTCTGATACAAAGAGTTGCCAGGTTTCGTTGCCTGACTGAGTTTCAACAAATGTGTCTTGCAAGATTATCGATTTTTATTGCCTCAGAACTTAAGTTTCCTTTCAAAATCCCTACTTTTTTAATCTAACCAGGCAGTTTCAGACAAAATAATTTAATTTAAATACATACATACATATTTATTAAAAAAAAAGTTTTTCTTTTCTTTTTAATGG